AATAGAGGGATAAGGGAAAAATAGAGAGGGGAAGAACATAGGGAGAGGAAAGAATACTGAGAGAGGGGAGGAGTAAGGCTGTCTCTTTCCCCCATGGCTTCTGCAGTTACATCACCTTTAGCAGTGCCAAGAGGGACCCCATTCCCTGCTCTACACTGCAGACCTAACACCACCCCCCCCCACCCCACCCCCACCTACACTGTCCCAACCTGCCATCTCTATGTCCCTGGAAACACCAGCATAACAACCCTGGAAACACCAGCATAACAACCCTGGAAACACCAGCATAACAACCCTGGAAACACCAGCATAACAACCCTGGAAACACCAGCATAACAACCCTGGAAACACCAGCATAACAACCCTGGAAACACCAGCATAACAACCCTGGAAACACCAGCATAACAACCCTGGAAACACCAGCATAACAACCCTGGAAACACCAGCATAACAACCCTGGAAACACCAGCATAACAACCCTGGAAACACCAGCATAACAACCCTGGAAACACCAGCATAACAACCCTGGAAACACCAGCATAACAACCCTGGAAACATCAGCATAACAACCCTGGAAACACCAGCATAACAACCCTGGAAACACCAGCATAACAACCCTGGAAACACCAGCATAACAACCCTGGAAACACCAGCATAACAACCCTGGACACACCAGCATAACAACCCTGGACACACCAGCATAACAACCCTGGAAACACCAGCATAACCCTCAACATGACGTCACACAAGCCCCCGGAGAAAGACTGGGAAGAGTATACAAGAGTGTATACTGGGAAGGTATACTGGGAAGGTATACTCACTGCGCCTGCTGCTGCTGCGCGGGCTGCGTGGTCACACCGGCCAGGATGGACGGCGTCGACACAGACTTCTGCAGCGTCAGCCGCGGCGCCAGCAGCCTCGGCTTCTCGATGGGGCCCGAACTCCTCTTCTCCTGAAAGACACGTTACGAACACTCAAGGTTGGGCTCTGGTTGCTCTTCCAAATGATTTAGGGAGGTTTATCCTCCATCAGAGGGCGGCAAGCACGGGAGGCCATATTCCACCCCCGACCTACGAAGTAAACTTAAGCTGGCCGCAAATACCAAGTCTTACATTTGCTGTTCAGTAGCAATACGTGAAGAGTTGTACCGGAGCAGTAAACTCCCTCGTATTGGCCTGGTATGAGCACAACTCTGAGTCCACTTACTAGACAACTTCCCCAGTCCTCTCCCTACACTCTCAGCCGCATTAAATATCAAACGCTCAACAAATACACGGTAAATAATTGAGGCAAAGGGCTGAGGGGAAGGGCTGAGAACACTCGGGAAGGGGACTGAGTGAGGCGGCAGCAACGGGGCCGAAGTTAACCACTCAGCCATGAGGGTGACACCACAGGGCTGAGGAAGAGTGCTGAGGGCGGGGGGATAGGTTCTTGCGGGCTAAGACAATAGGTCCTAGCTCAGCGAGTGGGTGAAGGACACTACACTGGAAGAGGCCGTCGTTGAAGGAGGAGTACTAACCTGGAGGTGGACGTCGTTGAGAGAGTGTGTGGAGGAGCCGCCGCCGTATGTGACAGGAGACGACGACCCCGACATGGACCGCTGCTTCTCCGCTGCCCGACGGCACCCGCCATCCACGCTGTCCGACCCTGCAACCAGTACACCACACAAGTATGTCAATATGCGGAGCAACAACACATATATGTAAACAAATCTCTATGCCCCTCTATATCCGAATCTGGTTCAATAGCCAACCATCTGGCCAGACAGCCAGTTAGTCAGTCAGTCAGCCTGCCAGTCAGTCAGTCAGTCAGTCAGTCAGTCAGTCAGTCAGTCAGCCAGCCAGCCAGCCAGCCAGCCAGCCAGTCAGCCAGCCAGCCAGTCAGTCGGCCAGCCAGTCAGCCGGCTAGCCAGCTAGCCAGCCAGTCAGCCAGAAGGCCATTTTGGTGTGGGTGACATGACCTTTGATCAAACGCAAATTAAAATCAACATTTCCCCAATCAGAACTGAAAGAATAGTAATTGTAAGATATGAACCAGAGAGTTCAGTCAATCACCTGCATTTCAAGTTTAAATGAACAAGCACTTGAAATCACCTAAACATTCAATCGCTTGAGTGCATCTATCAAATCGTTCAGATGTTTAGTGCACTTAAACATTTGAACACCTGAACGATCAAGAAACTACTGTAAATCGACCACAAAATACCACACCCAAGTGTCAGCTGAGAGGCTCCGAGGAGAAGCAGCTCCTCCATGATCTTCACCCTCAGGAATGTTAACTACCTGCGTGTGAAAATGAGACATTCGTAAGAACGATCAGATCACAAGAAAGCGTCGAGCCCGCAAGATCATACTGGGCTGAGCCATAGTCAAGGAGTTTCTAAATATCGTTCAGGATGTCAATTCGAGACCAGAAAGCCGTAAGATGAGCGATGTTAAAAGTCAAATTACTCCCTCTTTTAAACAGCATGTAACTGGGAGACCCGATTGTTAACCAATTG